CTCTCTGCCCACCTTGGAATCAATACCCAAGAGACTGCTCAGGATCACCTACAAAGCTCTTTGCAGAAGATGCTAATAGCCCTATGGTGAACCCTAGAAAGTCGAATTTTTAAGTTAGCATGCTTGATCCTAATGCCCAGCCATGGTTGGGGTCTGCAGCTATTACACAAAGTACACACTGCAGAGGCAGAACAAAGACATGAACATCCACTGGAAGAACCATTTCTTCGACCCTTCTCCATTCCCAGCCCCAGGCAAAGAATTCTGATATCATCAATTGGACACTGACTCATGGTGTCTCTTTCATTCCTGTTGCTATATCCGACCTCAGGCTATTGCAGAAATCTTTACACTATTTCTTTGCTTTCAGGCATAATTGTTGATTCTGCAGAGAAGTTCTATACTCATAGCAATCCTGTGTAAAACATGGAGCTAATATGGCACATGACATCAAGGTTTACAGGGAGTATTTTCATCTGTTAAAAGAGTATTCCTCCAGAAGTATACTATCTTTAAAAACAGCAGTCAACTGACTTGCCTTCACAAGCCACTGAAGGAGCACAAAGCATACTTACATGCCTTAAGGATTTCCTGATGTCCTTAACATCTATCTGCAGGATATTTCCAATAATTGGGAGAGGAGTGGGCCCAGGAGGGAGCTTCCCCCTCCTTGATCTGTGTCTCCAGACTGAGAGGAGAAGCAGACAGGAGACACCAAGAACCAGGGCCACCACTGGATCCATTGGAGTCTTCTCTTCCTACTGAGATAACTGTGACCTTGCTATACAAATTTTATAATCTCCTGCTAATCCAATATGTAACTCTTTGACACATAAACAAACAGTAAGCTGAGTGGACTTTCATCTCTTTCGAGGAGGCTTTCTTCCAATAACAGAATAAACAGAAACTATTGATATTTCTTGTTTTCTAGAAAGCACCCTGAAAATTATGATTTAAATGTACTAGGTTGGTTTCCCGTTACCAGCTAGTAGAAAAAAGAAAGAACAAATATTTTCATATGCTGCTATGATTGATAAATACTTAAGCTAATAATTTTGTGCAAGAAAATTACTCGTAATGCTAAATTGACACCCTCAGGCCAATTGGTAATCTATGACTAAGGAATTCAGTATATTCCATGACTTGTATGTTTTGAAACATACAGTTGGAGATGCAATGTCCAGAATAGAACACAGACACAGAGACTGCTCGTGGTAGACTTGAGCCTAGGAACTACCTTCCCTGCATCTTGCACCCTTCCCAACAAGGAGAAACTCACTTCTTATACACTGGTGGTAGAAATTAAAATTAGTAAGGTCATTATAGAGAACAGTATAGAGGTTTCTCAAAACACAAACAAAAAAAAATCTACTGCTGTAAAATGTAGATATCTCACCTGTGAGTAAACATAAAAGGAAATGAAATCAGCATATGAAGAGATGTTTATCACATGCCCATGTTTATTATGGAACTACCTGCAATAGCTAAGATAAGAAATCAATTTAGACGCCCACTGTCAGATAACAGATAAGGAAAATATGGCATAGATACACATTCTAATATTATCCAGACATAAAACAGAATGAAATAGTGTCCTTTGCAGCACAATAGATGGAAGGAGGGAAGACATTTGATCAGTGAAATAACTGGACACAGAAAGATAAGGACTGCATGTTTTCTCATGTGTGGAAGCTAAAGAAAATTGACTGGAAAGTAGGATCATAGTTAATAGAGGCTGCCAAATGAATAGGAGAAGGGTTGATAAGAACAAACCGCATTTAGTCAACACACCCTGAATGTGTGCATGGAAATATCACAATAAAACCCATTAAGATGGACCACCAATATGTTAATCAAAGAGCAAAAAGAAAAAAGACATTCACTTCTACTGTGTTCACCAACATTTCCTGATTGTGCATCAAGGTTCAGTATTTCATGATTCGTCATAATCACTGACTTTCAAAGTAAACATGAATT